TGACACTATTTAGTGGAGGGGATTCTATCCTTTGCTGGCAGCAATGTGAGGTCATCTGATGGGTCCTTTCTGTCTCTTAACTGCTGCCACAGAAAAATCAGAGAAAAAGAGGGTTGACAACTCTACAAGTCCTTCCTCTGTCCCACATAATAGAATCTGCAAAGCAAAAATAAGGTCAGACACTTTCAAATTGCTGCAATAGGAGAACTGGAAGATCATTTTATATCTAGTTCTAGAAAAGGCTAAAAATAAACCTGATGTGAGGCAGAAGACAGAGTCTGAAAATGGATTATTCTCATTTTTCCTGTAATGTAATTTGCAGATGTGCCGTGTTTAAGGCAGTAGAAAAGGTGCACGGACTAGGGCTTGTTCTTTTTGCGGCTTGTACTATCTAGTCTGTAATCAGTATTTTCTTCCTGGTGTTTGCACCCACCACTTTTAAAATGATACGTTAATCAGTACTGCTACTCAGCAAGAGTTTCCACACCTGATCAAAGGTGTTAAGAGTAAAATTTTTTTTCTTATTAAATGTTTAACTTTAGGAGAGAAAAAAAACCTACTAGACCTGTTTAAATAACCTGATTCTTGTCATGTAAACAAATGGGTGAACCATTTAGGCTTGCAGGTCTCTCTGAAGTGCATAGTGGTAGCTAATTAAATACTTAAATTCTTTTGTTCTGACCAGCTGCATCAGTGCAGCTATTTATTCCTGTTCGGTCTGCACCAGGGACACACACTGCAGTTGCATCCTGCTGCCTGATCTGCATTGCTGTATCTTTGGCGAAAATATCCAGCATATATCCTGCAGGATGCAGAGAGGGACTGAACAATTATGAAACTTGGATATCCACCCAGACCATCCTTCTGTACCTCTGGAAGGATATGGGAGAAAAAAAAAAAAAAATAATCTCATGCTTCAGGTATAAAACCAGGGATTAAATTAAAAAAAAAATTAAAATCCTTTGAGGGCTAGACTGTCCTACACCTGCACAGTGTGGTGTTTCTCAGAAAAAACTGAGGTGAGTTTGTGTTTTCCCTCAACAGCAACTGGGAGTGGCCGTCGTTGGAGACAGGACCGCAGAATCACCCTGCGCCTGCTGCAGAGCATCAGTGGTCCTCAGGTCTGTGCCCATGCAGACAGAGGATCAGCTCAGCAAAGCTCCAGATGCTGACTGCCCCGAAAAGAATCATGTTACACGCTAATGACATGACAGTGAGTTATACGTCCTGGCACCCAAAAGTTGTCACAGCTTTTTTTTTTTCCCCCCCTCCTTTTCATAATAAAAGCAGCACATTCTTCCCAATTCCTGGTGAAGCCCTGGCTTCTAGTAAGTACCGATATAGGCATTTCTTCTGCAGCTCTCTAGGGTGAAGCTTGTTTTTTTCAAGTTATCTGCATTATGTGCATAGACAGACCACAGATGCGATTCTCAGCAGTGCTGAGCTTTTAACTTTCCGACGAGTGAAGTACCTGAAGTACTCCTGACCCCGAAAGCTGCCTTCTGGCTGCTATCTGCTAAGGCTGCACAGGGATCAGCGATGGAGCTAGGGAATAAAAGTAAGGTTATCAGATTTCGGATCTGTTTCTGTAGGGCTCTGCCATGGCAAGACTGTACGTGTACGTGTCGTCTTCCAGGGGATCTCAAAGTATAGCTTGGGTCTCACAAATTTTCATTAAGCAGGTAAGAGAAATACAGTACGGAGTGCGGTCATGTTTGGAAGTGAAATATGACTGCTTTAACCCTCCAGTGCAGTAGTACAGAACAGGGAAGGAACAACAATACAGTCACGTGAAATCACAGCCGCAATTGTAGTCGAGTGGTTTAAAAAAGAACTGTAGTATTTATTATTACTAGTGCATAAGAGCTCTTACCGAAACCATTCTTAACCATTTTCCCTCTCTTATCACTTTGGAAGGGTGGGATTAAATTTCTATTATAAAAATTGCACCAAAAATGATTGGATTATATTACAGAGTGATGTACCGTATCGTGTTCTCTGCTGGTCCTAAATTTACTAAAAGCCTCTTTAAGCTGTCAGACTTCTGAAGCAGTATGAAAATAGTTATAAAAGAATCGTGATTTTAAAAAAAATAAAATTGCTGTATAAAGAAATTTTTCTCGTGAGTGCTTTTGTGGGAGGGGCAGCCTTAACTGACTGGAATTCCTGTGCTAAAAAAGTAATCTACAAAATATGCCAGGAATTGTGGCAATGATAAAAGTAGTGTAAAAAAAAAAAAGTCACGCGGCACTGAAAGCCTGGAAATTCTGTTTTTGAAAGGAAGTGTGGTGGAAACTGGAGGAAGCTGTACAGGAAAGAGAGGTTGCTGTCCTGATACTCTGTCCTGCCTGGAAGAAGAAATTACCTCTAAGCAAAAGCCCAGAGACCGTTACACAAAGGAACAAATAAACAAAAAAATCTTAGCAATAAAACCCTGAACTACTTTTCACAGAAGCATGGAAATGAAAGCAAGGAAAGCTTAATTTCCATAGGCAGAGCTGCAGAGAGCAGCGTTACCCTTCTTTGCTTCCGTATTAGTTCGTTAGAGAGGTCTGCGACATCTGCCCTGCGTGCCCTGACCCTCTGGTGACGAATGGGTTTCATCTCTGGCGTGTGGCACCAGCGTTTGCGATTCCTGCAGGTTAATTGATTTCTTTTGGCAAAGCACGTTTCCAAGTCCTGTTGTCTGAGCAGCATGACTGACTGCAGAGGGAAAACAAGGCATCTTGAAAAAGAAATTCTCCCGTACCCGGTAAGTAATAGCTGGGACACAAGGGAGGACTGGCCAGGCAGAAGGCTGTCTTTGCCAAAGGTGCGCGATGCCAAGTGCAGATGGCTTGTCGGATGGGTGGGAGCTGGACGTCGGATTTGGAGACCAGCATGGAGTTTTAAGCTGCTAATAGCAAAATGCTGTGTTGTCTTTTCTCTCAAAGGCAAGCGTGCAGCTCACAACAAACACACCCCCCCCCAAATTCTTCCGAGGAGACCACTGAACCTGTCAGCAACGGCAGACGGGACCCGATCGACAGCCCAGACACCACTGCTCGGGGCAGGCAGAGAAGCCTTACTCCGCAGTTGCCAACCTTATTAAAGATACTGTCTTACTGCTCAGTAATGTGTCAAACCTGAATTAAGCTGCACTCTCCAGGAATCTGACTGTAGGATGCCGGGGTATTTTTAACATGGAAGTGGGCATATCCCAGAAACAGGGCACTGGGAGTCATTTGAGAGAAATTATTTTGTTGACCATTATTTATGACAACTCTTCTCCCTCTGTACCTGAGTCCATTTGTAACACAAAAGATCCATGGGTGAATAATACAAAATTCATAAATGTGAATCACACAGACCAGGAAAGGGAAGGATGCTGAAAGAGAGTGAGCAACAAAACCAGGTCTGAAGCCTGAATATGTTTCTTCAAAAAGTGGACCAGCGCCTGGTTGGGAAGCTGGTATGCTTTGGACATGACCAGAGTACAACCAAATCTGCTCAGGCTAGACAGCCACAGAGAGAAATAAACATTTTTATGCAGGAGAATGCAGAGCAGTGAGATGTGATCTCCCTCCCACAGTAACGCTATGGCAAAGCTGGTGTTTTGGTTTGGTGGGCTGTAAAACAATGCTGTAGAAGGCACCAGGGCTGGCACCTGAGCAGAGTCAACCCATTAGCGCCCAGCCTGTGACCTGCAGTGCCTCTGAAGAAAGGGCTCTTCCTTCAGAACTCCACTGGAGCTGTGATATCAGCTGGATCCCACCGGGCATTGCCCAGCACAAGGGCCCGGGTGGGGGTAGATGTGCTGATGAAGATGGGAGCGACCTGGAATTCATCAGTACCTGGATACTGAAATCCTCCTTCACCGCCTGAGATGCTGTCATGCCATGCTGGCCACACACGTGGTGCAAAGGGACATGTGTCTCCACCGTAATTACAAGTAAGTGAAGTTTTCCTAGAAACAGGGCAGGGGCGAGTGAAAGCTAACGCTATGGCTACACGAGGGAGATTTAATCTGCTGCACTGTCACCAAATAGAACTTTTGGGCTCCTTGCAGCACAAAAAGCCACCTCGAGCACCTAGAAACTTACGTTCATCTTGCCATGTCCCCAGAGTGATCACTACTCAGACTTGCATGTACAGCTTGTGTGCCCAGTTACAGAGACAGGGCTGGAAGGCAGCCAGAGAGCAGTTCCCATCTTCCTGCCTCAAGCCCCAGCCAGAAACACAGGACAGCTTTCACGTCTTCTCCAAATAATCTCTTGTAGCATTTACTCCTTTTTTTCTCTTAGGAAGTTCTTCCTAACATCTAATCTCCATTTTCACATCTTGCAATTTAAAGCCCTCACATGCAGATAACAAAGGAGGCACACATCAGTAATGTCACATCTCCAAAGCCATGCTGAAATCCAACCACACAGGACTTAACCTCCTCACAAGATACACGATAAGGTCTTGTTTTTTCCACAATGTTTAAACATCTCATTATAAGGGGAATGCATATGTCTAAAGGCAGAATATATCTATCTATGTATATATCTAAGGAGGCAGAAAACCTTTCTTTTCTCTGGTATTTGTGCATGTCAGTAAAAGGAAGGTGGAACTGCTCTTACTGGTCCACAGCACCATCTGTGGCACTGCTTCCAGATCTCTTGCATCCATCTGATATGATATTGTGAGCCAGAAAGTACCATCCAAACTGTTCACGCACTTATGTCAATCTCCAAATACCTTACTTTCCTTCTAGTTGTACTATGTCTAGTGACAGCAATATGCCAGGGCCTTTCTCCTTAAGGTACGGCAAGGTATACTCTGCTCGCTCTGTCTGCAGAATTACGGCAGGCTGTGAACGTCTGCGTGTCTCCCCTTCTCCCGGGGGAGAAAGGCAAAGGCAACTGATAGTCCACACCAGACTAGTCAACTACCCACATGTTCAGCACGACATTATACATAGATACTCTTATTTTTTGACAATTATGAGAAAAAGACTAACCCCAGAAGTTTGTATGTCATGTGGAAGCGTCTTCTGAATTACTGTAGTTGCCAACCGTGAGGTGGTCCGAATCGGTTTCTTTACTGAAAAACAGTAGCTTTTTTTTTAACAAGCCGCAATAAGGGACTGGGAAAAACTATATTACAGCGACCCTTGAGCACGTATGTCCCCACACACAGCCTTCTTCCTTCTTGCCTGATGTTTCTGTGTATTGGAGGGGGTGAGCAGGGCACAGGGGACTGAGATGGGACTGTGAGTTCAACGTTGACCACCGAGGTCTGTGAAGTATCCCCTGCTCTTCACCTAGCAGTCCACCGGTTCCAACACACAGCAACCCCTCACCACAGATGGCCTGGGCTGTGGCATGCTCACGCAAGGGTAAAAGGGGCCTGTGACCTCAAATACTGTGCTCCCCTCCAGGCCATATGGCCAACAACCGAGATCCACCAGAGCAGAAGCGTGTAAAGGATGCCCAGCCAGCACGACCCAAGCCCCTGTGCTTCGTGCAGCCTCATGCACTCTGCTGAGCCGAGGTTCTTAACACACAACCCGACATCCTTTACCTGGAAGGACCAAGGCCGGGGAAAGAGAACAAGCA